CCGGCGGCGGCTTGTGTCCGCCGGCCACCATTTTGTCGGAGTTTCCCTCGGAGGTGCCCGTCGGGGTCTGCTGCCTCAACTACTCGGGTTCCACGCTGGGCCTCGTTCCCTGGTCTCATCTGACCAACCACTCTGACCTTCGTATTGTGGATCTCTCCAGGTGCAACATCACCTCCCTGGAGGTCTCGACCGTGGGGGCATCTCTATTGGAAAAAGTCTACTTAGCGCGGAATGGAATTGCAGCTTTACCGCCCGACTTCCTGGCGGGACAGCCCCAGCTTGAGGTGCTAGACCTGAGCGGGAACTCGCTGGAGGAGCTCCCCGAGGGATTCCTGCAGGACTCGAATAACCTGCTACGGTTAGACCTGCAAGAGAACCGTCTGCGATCCTTGCCCGCGTCGGTGCTCCAGAGGCCCGTCCTCAGGAGCCTGGAGCTAGACGGGAACCCCTGGGAGTGCTCCTGCTCCTTCTTGGAAGTCCTGGAGGCGGAGGAGCTAGCAAGGAACCTGACATGCGCGGCGCCGTGGACCCTGGCAGGCCGGGCGGCGCGCTCGGCCAAACTGAGTGATGCATGCCGGCCGGCCAGCCTCACCGTGCTCTTCATCGCACTCCCAATGGTCATCCTCGCCACCCTACTGTTGTGCTGGTGCTGCGGGAGGAGGAGGAAGGAGGCCCCCACATTCGGGGTATCGAAGAAACGGAATCCCAGCTCCAGAGGCACCGGGCCCAAGGTGGAAAGCGGGCCGCCGCAGGAATTGTCAGATCCCGTCGGAGAAGGAATCCTGATCCCGGTTTCTAAGATGATGGGAAGCACCAATGAAGACCAGGAACTCCCCCTGGGTTCCGTGGAGTCCCTCCACTCAGGTTCCAAGGGGAGGAGGCCCAGCAAGTCAGAATTGGACGCTGTTAGCGTGACAGAAGTTTTGAAAGATTCAAACGACCGGGAGAAAGCATACATGACTCAGTCCACTGAATACTACAGCCTGGTGCCGGGAATCCATCTGGACGACTCAGATCATGAGGGCTGACAATGCAAAATCAATCTCCATTTTTTTTTTCCCTAAAATTATTTTGTAAAACTACGCTAATCACTGGAAGTAGCGTGAAGGAGTTGTTAGCGCATGTTCCTCACATTTCTGAGGTTCAGAATTAAAAACACCACACTTGTGTCCGCGTGTGAGCCCCTTGTGAAATTTGCCCCACTTTTAGATCAAACCCAGCTGAGACTATGTGAGCGTTCATGTAATTAGAGTTTACACAACTTTGAATTTCACTGGATGAACGGTTTGCGTTTAACTACATCTTACAGGGAAATGGCTTCTCTCAGTGCAAGCACATCTTATTGGGCAAGTAAAAGCGGAATACCTTTTATTGAGCAAATTTTGGCTTGAAGTTGAAATGATGTTGGGGTGATATTTGCTCCAAATCTAAGTGTATCAAGTGCTGCCTTCATCACTGAAAATTGTTTTATTGTCCTGACTGGTTATCTCGGGGCTCTGCTTCTGCAAGTAAGCCTCTCACGTGGTCACACAAGCTCTAGCACAGCCCCAGTCGTCATTGCACCAGAAATATACGGGGCGGGATTTCCACTTGCATGAAACAGAAAATTGGGTGTCCAAAGAAACCTGGATACTGTTTTGAAGTATGAAAAAAAAAATCATAATACGGCTCCATGAAACAACATAGAGACATATATTCCGACTCTACTTTTTCTACTTTCAGTTTTGGATGCTATCCTTACTTACTTTGAGACTTGTTTGAAGAGAGATTAACGTCAAGACTCCAAAGACCTATGAAGTGGATGAAGCATTTTATTTTATTGTCCTTTAGCGAGCACAACGCACTGATTACATCTTCCCACAGCACTCAAATGGCAAAAGGCCGCCTTAGGTAGCTCATGAACAATCCTGCTCATTTCCTTGAGGTGCCACATCTGAGCCGCGCGCTGATGCACATGAGTGCGTCATGCCAGAACTCGCCGTGGCGGTTTATGCTTTGTCAGCTCTCACATTTCTGGTTGTGCAGCTCGAACGATGCCTGACACTTCCCAGATGGAAACCAAGCAGAAACAAGTCAAACTGGAATGCTTCTGGTGCCTCTCAAATGGTGGAAAGGTGATAGGTGCAAGCATTAAATACGTCATATATTGCAGTTACTTTTTTCTGGCGGTAGGAGGCGTATATGAGTCTTTTCAGGTCAGGAATGCATGACTGGTATTTGTGGTTAAAGTTTGGAAGCAATCGGACAAAACTCCTAGGACGAGTTCGTCCCTTCTTGTATCTTTTTGGGCATGACTTGTTTCGACTTTTTTGTGGCTCAACTCATGATAGACAATGCTGTCAAATTTCATGTTGTTCAGTTAAACTGACTATGAGGTCTTGGTTATGTGGCGAGTCATCAAACTTTGTCGCCTGCATGTCACAAACATGAGATCTTGAGACTTTTTCTGTGGGTTGACTCATCATTAGGATGCCCACCAAATTTCTTAGTTTCTTAGGACAACCGGCTTTGGGAACTGAATTTTTTGATAGTGTTTAGTTAGTGGCAACTCATCCAAGTTAGCCACTATGTTTCAAACCGAAATAGCAGACTTCCTACATCTTTTTGAGCATGGCTTATTTTGTCGGTCTAACATGAAGGACATGTCCACGAAAATTTCATATGCTCAGTGTAGCTGGCGACAGGTGCTTAATTTATTGGAGGCTGAGGTGGCTTCATCATAAAATTCGCAGAGCAGAGCAAGGATGATTTACAGCAGGAGTCAAGGTAACCATGTGAAAACCAAACAAGAGTGTTGAGAGTGGCGACAATGACGAAAGAGCAAAAGTGGAATGCGATGGACCGTGGGGCGTTTACGTTTGCACTGCTCTTATCTCGGTGATGGACAGCAGTTGAAATCATATTCAAACACACGCTGCACATATAACAACGTGATTATTTACAATGTAAAAATGTAAATGAATTTTCCAGGGTGAGAGACCAAGCCCTGAAATAGCCAAAATGTGCAAGTAAACCCTAATTATACTCCAAACAATGATTCCAAAATACGTTAATATAATTTCAAACTCTTCTTGCATTAGCCTTTAAAAAGAAATTACAAACGATCGCTAAACAATTTGTAATTACTACTTTCCTAATAGCCGCTTCAACAACTAGGATCCGCAACAGAGCGCGTCACGAGACATTTCTCTCAAGTTAACTGGAACAGTTTGGGATACAGAGTAGATTGCATCTTAAGGCTTTTCCAAAGTTTGGTTAAAAACAACTCAGATTTGTGATAGCACGTTTTGGGCTCATCCCAAAGTTGTAATGGAAAAAGAAATTGGATTTGGGATAAATTGCATCTTAAGGGTTTTCCCCAAATAGTAGTGGGATAACTTAGATTTGTTCTGGAACAGCACCTCAAGGCTTTTCCCGATATTGTTGCAGAAACAATGACAAGTCCTGATTGAGCATGTCTGAAAGCGCCTTTTTTGGGAATTTGTTGGGGAAGCTATTTAGATTTGCCACAGAACGCACCTAGAGGCTTTTCCGAGTCACATTTTGAATACCATGAGCTCAAATTGTTCCAACTTGCAAGTAAACAGTGCTTTCAGTTATATTTTTAAACATCTCCCGATTTTCAGCGATATTCTTCATTTTCTTTTCCACTTCCGATTTAGGTTGTTTAATTTCACACTCGATGGATGGCACTTCAGAGTAGGCCTTTTTTGAGGCTAAATAAATGTGATGCACATATTCAAAAGACAGAGCTCACCTGCAGGATGTAGTGTTCCGAGTGTGCTGTTGGAAAGTATGGCACATAAAGAGCATAGGAGTGACATCTAGTGGTAACAAATGTATCCCTTGCAGGCATCAATTTGTATTTTTTTTTTAAAACTTATTTAAACATTTCTTTAAGTATTACAATTCCAATGCAGCTATATATACACACTAAATACACCATACTAATCGTTGCAATGCATACATAACTAAATAAGACCAATATGTTCTAATGAATCTAATCGTAGATTCTAAATATAAATGAAAATGAATCTACAAGCATCCTTTGAGGAGCCCACACTTTTATCCGCATAAAATAAATGAGTAAATAAGCAAAAGTATCTGTTTTGTAATCCTGATCTTCTAACGACACACTTAAATATTGTGCAGTCGCCTGGCAACCTGGTTGCTGTGATTATTCTCTTTTTATGCCGCATCTGTATCCTGAAAGAAGAAATACAGAACTGTACTATTGTGTTTTGTAGTTTTGGATAAAAATGCAGATTTTTTTGTATATTACTACGTTCGGTCATGCCTGTTTGTTTTGCCACATATTTAAGGACTGACATGCTGCCTCGTCTCTTGTTGGTTTATTGACCTTGCTCGTTGTTGTGCTTCAAGTGTTGTATTTTTGACCTTTCGATATCTTTCTCGTTTTGTCATAGAACTTTGTAAACATTTTCATTATTTTTTTTTATCGATCTTGATATTTGGTTTCATGTTATTGGACTTGAGATATTTCGTTTGTGTATTCCCGGTGTTCTCTTGTACCTTGCCTTCACAAGCACTTTTTGTTTTATGTCTTGGTTTTTTTTTTCTGGCTCCTTGTGGCCAGGCAAGCAAATAGTGCTAATAAGTTAGCTTGGTGTGAAACTGATTAAAGTACATATCCGGATAAAAAATATCTTTTATGAGCTTTTTTCTTGTTCAAGCCAATACATACAGTATTGTTGTGGAAAATAATTTAGCATGTACCCAGCATAGTATGTTTTGGTTGTTTATTGTGGCCACCTACTTTTGAACACTGATCACTGAAAATTCTCTGTGAACCTCAAACATGACAGATTTTGACTGAGGAGAGCCCAAAAGATCCTTTGCTTTCAAGACAGTTTGATTGCCTCCCCTGACTACTAAAAACTCAATGTTTAAATTGTACATTATTTTGTTTAAAAGCAAGAATTTCAGTTTCATATTGGTGAAATGTGTACTGCACTACGGAGCCTGCATCTAGAATGTTGGTGGTGGCCACACAACAGTGGCATACTGGTCCAGGGCCATAAGGCAATTGGGCCACCATTAATGTCGGATCCTGTATCATTTTCCTGTAGTTTGTACCATTACGTCGGAGCATCTGGTAACATTAAAATAGATGTGAATGACTTTTGAGCGGAACTTGGAAGAGATGCAACATGATGCCAGCATAGTGAAGCCAGAGGTGGTGGGCGTGGCCAATGTGGTTGCAGATTTGCGTCACAGTGGATGTTGTTGCAAGAAGGCTGCTGCAGGCTTCAAGATTGTGTTCGGGGGCGGGACAAGCATGACAGTGGAAATCAGGATGATCTTAATATATACGGTCGCTTTTATTTTCCACCTCTTGTATTGACATCATTGTCCGTGAATACTTGTTTTTCTTTCTCCACTCTGTTTTTTGGGGAAATGTTTAACTGCTTGCTTCTGCCACAAATCTTCCTTTTTATTGCCTCAAGTGCTATGGCAAAATAATGAAAAATTACCCAGCTTTTTTGATGCAAATAACATGCATGAAGACATCACAGACACTTGTAGAAGGGTGTCCAGTCGATATGGATGATATGAAAGTCTAGTGGACGCGGGCTGTGAAAAGGCGAACCGCTGATGTGAAATTAGTTTGAGTGTCGCAACTGGTAAATTTTCCCATGGATGCTGGAACGAGCAGATAATGGGTACGTTGACAATGCATTTTATTTGTGTGTGGAAACATGAAGGAAAATAACAAATGGGATTTTGCTTGTATCGCGCTTTTGAAGGCACTCAAAGCACTTGAACAATCCTCATCAGCATCAGGACCAAGTTGGGGCTTTGGTATTTTGCTCAAGGACCCTTGAGCATGGTCACTTGGGCCTTCAGGCTGGAAAATGACCATAACACCACCTCATCCCCATAAGGACTCCGATTGTGCTGTTGTCAAGGTTTCACTGAAGGTTTATGTCATGGGACCAACTGATGTGTGTCAGGAGGTCAGAGATTACTTTTTGGAAGCGGTACCAGACTGACTGTGGAGACTCGTAAGTTTGGCTTTGATGTATCGCAACCCGAATTGTGTCACTACCTCATAGAGATGAAATAAAACAACATAAAATGCAGTTTTTGTGTCCGTTTTTTAAAACCGCGAAGCCTATTGAGTTTGCAGCTTCACAACAGATCTCAGGAGGTTCTTGTATAGGAAGTAACTAATGTGTGACAGGATACAGGTTACTTTTTGGAGGTGGAATCAGATTGACAGTGGAAACCTGTAAGTGGGATTTATTTATTTTTTTGGAAGATAATTAATTAGTTTTGTTTGAATTAAAATCAGAAACAGAAAATTTGCTAGTTCACTTTTTTTTGTTTGTTTGAGACTCACATTATCTTAAATGTTTAGTCGATCTTTGGATGTGGAACCAGATTAAGTGTTGACCCTTGTGAGTGGAAACATGGCAAAGTCTATTTGGCGGCTCAAGAAAATGAAATTTGGGGATTTGCTCGTTCCATGTTGACATGCTTTGTGTCAAACTTTCACAAGCTCTGTCACGAACTTAATATGAAAGCTATTGTGTCATATTAGACATGTCAGGACCCAGCAGGTTTCCTCAAAACTACAAGTAAACACCATAACCCATAATGGATCACCGGAAAAAAAAAATCTAAATGGTTGTTTTATTTCCAGATTC